CATCCTTAAAACAGCTCTGCGACATGTGTGAGTAGACATAAAATCTGTTCTTCATCTTCTCCGTCATGAAAGATTTCATAATCCTGACAATACCATCAGCAATTCTCGGGGCATTGATAAAGTTTATCGATTGTACCCTTATAGGATAGCAGCTATGCCACGCGTGTACTATATTCATAAATATATGAGGTTGACATAGAGCTATGTGCCGTACTGTTGGATTGACCACGTCTATGAACATTGCACAACCATATACAGATGCAATGGCGTTACACTTCATCGCTAGCTCTGTCATCATGCAACCGACCTGATGAAATAATCGTTCATGAGAAAAAAGAAAATATTTTATCATAACGACATCACTCACAAACACATCATTTGAGTGTTATGTGCTATATTCTAATTTTTACCTTAATAAAGTCCGATAGTTTATGTTTTGTTGGATTAAATCGAGTACCGCGTATAATGAAAATCAATTTTCCTTGATTATCCAGTTTTCGCAGAGGTAAAAACAACCTATATGTAAACAAACTGTTTCAAAATTCTTTGGAGAAGTTTTTCAACCATAATTTTTCTGTGCATATAATTGCGTTCGGAAATTTTTAATAAAATAATTTTACTAAAAAATCAAATAGAAATAATATAAAAAAGTTAACAAAAAAGTTAAAATCCAAAGATAACTTGTCATAAAAATTACAAAGTTACAATTTATTAGTTTTCTATTATGTCTCCAAGTCTTATAATTAAAAAATAAAAAATTCACTATTGATCTCCATTGTAATTAAATTGAAATTATTAACAAAACTTGTATTTATTATAATAAATATAATTTAATATATAAAACAATTAAGTTTTGTCAATAAACTGCAATGTTGTAATCTCTCCTTTAAAAAAGATAAATTGATAATAATAATAATTATTATTTAAAAAATTTATAAAATGTTATACAATAAATTATTTTAAATTGGATAATTTAAGTCATTTCCCGGTGTTGAAGAAGAGGAAAAATTTTATTTAAATGAAGAATATATTCATATTCTAAAATAGTGGTTGTTACCCCATATCAAGCAGCTTCTGCAGTTCCGGTTGAAACGGATCCTTATTCATGTAACATTCCGGAAATTTGGATCGATGCTTATAATAGTTTTGCATCCTAATCTTAGTTTTTTCAAGATTAAACTTGCAGACTCTCAAGAATCGCAGAATAAGGAAATTATCTAGATAATTTAGAATTACTTTGAAAAAGTATATAAAAAGCTATAAACCAGTGCTAAATCTATTATCAAGTATTACAAATTAAATTGTGTTTTTCTAAATGTATATATGTAGAGCAACATGATTTTAAGAAGTGTCTAATACCTAAATGTATACACTTTTTTGTTTTTTCGATTAAAAAAAGAAGTAAATCAAGTCAATCAAAAAACTATTCAGAAATTAACAAAATGAAATAGGACGATGATGAACATTTTCATGAATTTTTCGATGAATTTATCGAGTCTCTATTTCTTCGTAATTTATTTTTACTTGTCGAGATTTTTAGACCTCTGCTTTTGTTTTTAATGAAGAAGTCAGACACCTGGTTATTATTTTCCGTTTTTCCTTTTGTTGTGCGATCAAGAATGAATTCAACACAATATAAGCATCAGAGTTAACATCACGACAATTAAAGACAATTACACTATTATTGCTCCGGAAGTAATAAATCATTGAATTTTTTATTGAATGATATTTCAGTGCGAGGCACCGCCGTTATTTTTACCGATTCGTATGCGCAATTCGTCCTCGATCCAGCATTTAATTTCTGCAACAGCATTCTCTCTATTTCCATCGGTTTCGTTCAAATTTTCAGCCGCATATTTCTTATCCTCATTGGTCAACTCTTGCAAACCACGCACTACACTATCACCATAATTACGTTCGTTCCCCATCGTAATGACAGTGAATAAGAATTAGCTTCCACTGCGGAAAGATTTGTGTCATGAACCATGTACTCTGACCGTAAAGTTACACATAACACTACAGATAAAGCGTAACATCATGCACTTTTCAGTGACTTCACTCTTAAAATCTTCAATGCTCTTTGAAATCACTGAATAATCAGAAATTGCGCCGTTTGCAACAATTTATGAGTTACGATAGTTTGATGATTTTGATAAAACATACTATTCATTCTTGATATGAAGAAAATTTAACTTTTAATTTTTTTAATCTTTTAAATAAAATACGTACAAGCTAAAATTGTATTAAAAGATTATAATTATACTCCCTAAATATATAAAATAAATAAATTAAAACGTCTAACTTATCTTTTTATATTTAAAAAGCTAAAATGTTTTATGTATAACATTTTCTAAATTACAACAAAATAAATTAAAATTTTCTATTCTTATTCTCATAATTTGAGAATACGTACCTACAGAAAATTTTTATTAAAAACTTTTCTACCTTCTTTTCTACATTACGTAAAGATATTTTGCATAACAAAGGAATAAGGGAAATGACTCGTTTTTTCCGCAACTGTAGGGCAAGAAAAAGTTCGATTTATATTCGATATAGTAAAATCAAATGTGTTATAAATAAGGTAATTAAATAAATAAGGTTTCCTAGCATTACTCATTTTTTGGGAAATCTTTCAATAGTTCTCTCCATAAATTCACACTTGGTAAGAAAAATTATGTAGGCTACCATAAAACGTATAAAAGGATAAATCTGTTTTACAACAAAAATTATCTGTATTGAGCTAATGTAGTGACTTTGCTATTGTATTTTATTTTATAATAAAAATTATCTGTATTAAGCTAATGTAGTGACTTTGCTATTACGTTATGCTATTGTAACAATAATAAATATAGAACTTGCATCAGCGAATTATGGTGACGCAGTTTGATGCATAATTAAACAAAATCAAATAATTAACGAGATCATGAAAATCTGTGTGCAATTTTCAGAAAATTATTTTTACGATAAAACAACATTAATAATTGGATCATTTACAACAGATATTTGGTAAATTATAAATGATTTAATTCACAGCTTTTCCGCAATATTAGATCTTATATTTAACAATAAATAACTAATCATAACAGATACAAAAAAGTCTTTTTGGGGACTAAAAGTTCCAGCAATATACTTAATTTTGATTGTAAGGACGCTTTTCTAGCACGTTATATTTCAAAGTTATAATATGACAAAATACGAAAAAATAATCCTTTTTGCAAATTTATTTGCAAATTCCTCAAAATTGTGACATGATAGAGCAATTCTACGGATCCGAATTTAGCGTAAAAAACTACAAGAAATGACTGCTTGTGTTACAGTGATTTTTTTTTGTAGAATTGTGTAATAGAGAAATTAATAATATAAACTAACTATCATCAATTATTATAAACTTATATCATACAAATTAACTATTACCTTTTTTAAAAATTTTATATTTTATTCGTTATCTCATATTATACCACCAATAGAATTATCTTACAATAAAAGAGAAGGAAAGAGGATTTTTTTGCAAAACTTACAAAACAAATACAATTTGACTTATATTAATTACAATAATATTTTAATAAATACATCCAAGCATGTTTTAAGATTAAATATTTGTTGCCGAGTTTTTTTTTTTAATCCACTGCTCCAAAATATCATTCAATTTTGTTATTCTCATCACTCATAATCCAGTCGCGATTCTGTTCCATCAATTTCTTCCAATAATCTGTAAAAGTAAATGTTGACATTTACAGGTGAATTAAACGATTATACAAATTTAAACAAAAATTCCTTATGTACATTTTAGAATACGGTGAATTCTTAGCTTGTATATTGATTGATATATTTAAATGATTGCTGTCAAAAGTTTATTTTTTTATTTATCAATAATTGCTACTATTACCAGTTAATTCCTGAATTGTACCATCAGTCCCGCCATACTCGATTGGCAAGATATCTGCTGGAACATCCTTAAAACAGCTCTGCGACATGTGTGAGTAGATATAAAATCTGTTCTTCATCTTCTCTGTCAT